GAAATAGTAATATATAATATTAAAATAATGTTAAAACATATAACATTAAAATATATATAATGTTAAAATATATACAATGTTAAAATAAAGTTAAAATAATGTTTTACACGATTTACGAACGCATCTCTTTTCGAATTACCCTCGGGTATCACTTCGCAAAGTGAGAAAATAATATATAGTTTTTACTCGTTAGAATTTTTTACATAAAATTCGATAACGATGGCGCATAGCGAAATTTATGGGGGTTTTATTCAGGAGAATTGCTTTTTTTTTTTTTTTTTTGTAGAACCGACAATGTCATTTGCATAATCTACGGTGCTATCGCGCTCTGAATTTCACGGTGTTTTTTGATAGTACGAAATTCGCCTTCAAGCCATAAGCACAATCATAAGTGGATTTCGCAGCCTTACCCAGCATTACCGAGTAAGAACTAGTTTTTCTTCGTGCGAAAACTCACATGTCTAACGTATAATCGCAAGAAAACGCGATTTATCTTCTCGCCGATTGTTTCAGAGCCGACATTGTTCGCTTGGAAGTAAGCAGTTAAGCAAGTTCCATTTATTTCTTGCGCCGATTTATCTCTCAAGAGCCATTACGCATAAGCTCTGAAAAAAATCGCATCCCGCCGTGAAAATGTCGCCCTTATTAATAGGACATGTTTTAGAATATGTGATCTTTGATATCGCTAATTACAGGATGATATATCGGTCGCTTTAAATATTGTATATCGATTTATGATTTTTTGTTTCATATTATTATTACTGCTTTTGCGATATTTATATAATCGGGAAAGAACAAGCTATGGTTCCGAGCTATAAGTCCGAGCTATTCAGAAGCCAATTACACTTTGTCGGTTCATCTATAAACGAAGAACAGCGTCGCATAAAAATAACTATGCGCATAATGGCAGTAAATGTGCATCATAGCGGCTGAATCAAGGGCACAATCTCGGCATTGTAGGCAACCAACGGCATGTATAAGCGCGACCACGTGAATAGCATCGGATGTAAAATCATTGTTTTCGTCCGATAAATCCGAGCGATGCTTCGTCCAAATTGTTGTTGGCCAACGCGTAATCGCCAATAAATTCACTTTAACGCAATCACTACAAGAATATGTATACCTCAGATTTTATTTAGAGACCATATCGTGTTGTCTTTACACGATACAATATTTTTCATTTATATGTGATATATCATTTCCATGTTATAAGAAAAATATCAAGGTGACAAGATTTATCAACTTTATTATTTGACATAATGTATATAATATTCTCTGATTTATTGGGCAAAAACATGCGTAATTTCTATTGATTATAAATTTCAATACTTTTAATATAACTTGAAAAGGATAAAGTGGGGGTGGAAATATGTGTTAGCAGTGTGTGCATCGAGTACACGCGGCTTTATTCTGGTATAATGCAAGGAAGCGAGGAACGAATGTTGGAGAGGATGTTGACGAATTCTCTATTGTTGTGTATATGTGGTTGTTTGGCCGCCTCGAATAATGATGCGACGCGATTCTCCGAAGGGGCGCGGAATCGCGTCGGGAAATCGCGCACACAACTGTCCCGACGACCGCCACTATTAATAATAGCTCGTATTAATAGTGACTCGCCGCGCTCTATGTATAGACATTATGTAGAACTAGACTTGCCTCGTTATCCGCAAGCGGCTTATGGACGCGCGTCATTAGCGTACTTTGTGGGCACCGTGCTAAGATACGTATAACAAGATCTCGGCGATACTGTTGCAGGCAATAGTGATTTCGTTCTCTGTGAGACGTTGAATTTGATACGGTTTATTTAACCGAGATTGTCGCGTTGCATCTGTCTTTTAGTAAAATAAATCGGTAACGCGCTGAGAAGATTGCGGGTTCGTCTCTCAACATGAGAATTATAATTAGACTGCTTTTAAGAGAGCTAAGCGTTTCTAAAATATCAAGAGATTAATACTGGCCTGTTATATTAAAAACATATGTTACATAATTTTATAAATAACGGTGCGATATTTTAACGATCACACATTTATCATACATTGCGCGACGAGATTTATGCCGATAAATACCGAATGTGCGTTTTGACAATCGTTGATTTATATCCATTGAACGCAATCTGGGAACCTGTTGCGCCGCAACAATGCACGCAGCCACATCCGCACAAAAGCGGATTTACGGTGACACGTTTGACAGCCTCTACGCATACGTATGTACATGCACATCAGTCCAAGTTATGCTACGGCGTGCACGTGAAAGCAACGGTGCATGATAGATGTGATAGACCGCCGGCTCTCAGGGGATGAACGGAGGATCGCCAAAGGAGGGATATTCCTACATTGGAAATCGGCCAATGGCCGTGTGCCTTGAAACCTTATGTATTGATCTTACCTAATTTCGTTCTAACGTTGCCCTAATTCATCTGCGTGATTATTTCATGCGATGTTTGCCATATGTTTGGAATCGCTCATTAAAATTGCTGGTCAGTCTTTTAGACTGTTGTAATGTCAAAGATCACTGAGTAAATAAAGATGACAATATGAGTATAGCAAAGATTTAAGAAGGAAACAGATAGTCTCTCGCGAAATTATCGTGTTGTCATAAATTTATTTCTATATGATACAAATTTTGGAATACATATATCTGAAAGGAATAGCGAGAAAACAATTATACCAATTACATACTTTTTGTTTATATTAATAACAATAATTTTATGCGATTATACAACATCCGCGCTTTATACGATTCGTATCTTTTTGATAAATAACTAGATATGTTATTTAGGTTCAATTGTTGTTAATCCGAGAACAATGGTGTAACGAAACTGTAATCGATTTAAACCTCAGGGATTAATCCACCCTTGAGATATCCACAATAATTCGATGAATATTTATTGGCCCGTCTTAGGCGAAATCAATTTGTTTGTCTGGTACAGATACCAAAATTTCCTCATAGCATGATGCGACTTATTTTACGTACACAGTTCAGAAAAATTATCATCAATCTCTTTGTATTAATACAATCACTATTTTAGGATACATTTAAATAAGATCGAGTTTTAATCAAATTTCTTATAATTGTATATTATAATTCTCATTCATGAAAATTTTGACAATCGGTGAAAGATTGCGTTGTTATTATTTTTAAAAATAGAAGTGAAAGTTTTTATTTTGTTGATAAGAAGAGAGTAGGAGAATATATAAAGTTTTTTAAACTCGTCACTGTTTATTATTATCTGCGTTTAACCTTGATGCTGTTTTCATTACTGTTGCTTCGTTACAGTTGAATTGAGTCGTACATAAAATACCAGTTAGAGAACATCGATAAAATATTAATAGAGCGCAGCGTAAGGAATACCTATAATAGAAACGAATGCCTTCGAGATACGTTTATTGTCAAAGCGAATTTCTGCGGCAAAATCTTTTGACATAGCAACAGGTTGAAACTTTATTCGTGTGACTCTCCTTTGAGTAATTCGATAAATGAAAACACAAACGAAGTAAATTAATTTCTTTAGCCACTGAAGATTGATGTTGACGCCAGGTAATGTGATCGAGTAATTTCTATCATTTCATTCCATTCTATTTTCTTATCACAAAACATGTGGTGCTAAATATTTACGTGCAATTGATTTAGCTTATGTTTTTAATTTTTTAATTTAACAATTAATTGCATTTATGCAGAAGATATTATTAAATCGTAATTTTTTATTAACTAAAACTGATTAGTTTCAATATTGATATTAATACTTTAGAAACGTAGAAAAGGCTTACAATTTTGATAATTTTAAATAAAGTTTTCTCTTAAAAATTTTGCAAATTAAAGTTTACATAATTATATATATAACAAATATGAATACAGGTGCTTTTGCGAATTTGATCGTGATTAGAATAATTCCCGTCTAAAAATATCCGCGTTCGCACATCTTGGCAAAATTACGGAGCCACTTTTAACTCGGTTCCCAACCTGAATTCTTCTTGTACTAATAATTAGACATAGTTCCTTTCCTAATTGGCAGCTTCTAATTGAAGCTCGATTTTCCCAAGAATGTGTATTTGACGTTTCTTCAACTACGACATTTCCGTTGGAATTTATTTGTATGCTGAGTTTGATTGAATGATGGCGGTGCAAGAGTTTATTCGAGCAAATGTACGAAATGTAACGCGCGTAAAATGAAGTCACGTAAGTAAAATAAAGATTCGAATATTTTCTGGTAAAATTTATAAGAAAAAGAAAGGGAGAGAGATAGAAAAAGATTCCTGATGCCTGGCAATTCTACCCAAATTTTATCGCACTTTGCTTTTACTTATTTAATTTTCATTATTATATCTTTAATTTAAATATGAAAACAGGATAAAATATGCAAAAAATCTCTAGAGATAGACACACACATATATATTTCTTCTTTAGTTTCCATTTATCGCAAATCTCGACGATTTTTCGAACCCCCATCGAGCTCCTTGGGAATCTTTTAGTCGCAAGAGAGATGTAATACGAAGGTCGAGTGACGCTCAAGGCTGCGTAGGTCGGAGACTAATTGCTAACTAATTTGTTCTCATCTTGGTACGAAGGAGAAAATATTTCTTCTAGACTTCGAGCAACATCGTTCGTGTTTCCTCCAATAATTGTTACGAAAAGATAGCACAAACCACACAGCTGAATAATTTATTTCGTTAATCGATGCCGACAAAAATAGAACTTTTTCGACTGTTTCGAATCGTATGTATTTTAATCGCAGGAGTTACACAAAAATAGAATTCTCTCTTACACAATTAATGTTGATAAGAATTTCGTAAAATTTTTAGAACTTTATTAGTTAATTTGATTTTTAGAACTGATATGAGAAATTGATTCAAGAATGTAGGTTGTTATAAATGAGTATGAGAAAAGAATGTTATATCTAACGTATTAAATTCACACATAATTTGACACATTTGACATTTTGCTGACATGTCATTCCGTACGATATTTATATGTCCCTCTGATTATGCGATAACGGATTGCAGGGCAGACTATTGGAAGTCCCAAGGCCGCAAGTTCTGCGACTTCTGCAAGTGCTGGATCGCCGATAATAAACCGAGTATCGACTTCCACGAGGGCGGCAAGAAGCATAAGGAAAATGTCAGCAAGCGACTCAAAGAAATTTACAAGAATAGTGCCAAACAGGCGAAGCAGAACAAAAAATTCGAGAATGATATTAAAAAGATGGAAAATGTACGTTTTTAGGATTGCATCGTAGATATTGATATTATATGTATATTATTGATAATACATAATCATTTTTTTTTTTTTTTCATACAGGCGGCAATGGCTGCATACATGAAGGATGTCGAGAATAACACGCGAGATATGACTGCTCAAAAGATTATTAAAGAGAAAGTGAACAAGATTGAAACGAGAGAAGTATGCTTATACTTTTTTAATCTTTAATATTTAATTTTAAATGTTACATTAAGAGAAAAATTAGATTAATAGTATTAGATATAATGAATATTTTTACGAATTATACGAAGATAAGAACTATATGTTTCTGTTTATTGCACAAATGCAAAGGAATCTAATAATCCGAAGTAATATGTTTGTGTTTGGATATGTTTTATCTCACATATTTCATGTATATATTTCTAGATGCCTCAGAATTTTAATCGCATGCCACCAGCTGCTCCGGAGACGGTACCGAGATTCAAAAATAACATTGGACACGTGAGTAGATCCTCAAATTCATTTTTCTAATTATTCAATGATCGTAATGATCGAGCAAAAAACAATCATTTATCATTTCTATTCACAAAATCAAAAAAAAATTTATTTTATTTGTGAGAAGCTTTTGTTGACACGTCTATGTTTCCTAACAAAATTGGAGCACAGTTTATTAATGCGAATGCGATTTTTCAGTTTTCGCCAAAAGTAGATCCTTGCGACCCGACTTTGTCAAAAACCATTCTGTCGTTTCCACGAGTCCAGCAGCAGGGCGGCGAGAACAGGACTCCCGGGAGGAGTAAAGCGAATAAGACGAAGGGAAAGGGGAGAAAGGCCCAGGAGGACGATCGTCCGACCGCACCTGTCAGGAAAGTGTGGTATGAAGCCCTCAGTCCCGAAGGATACACTTACTACTGGCACATCGAGACGAACGGTGCGTATACCTTTGTCAAACTTTTTTTTATCTTTTTTCCCATCTACCTCTTAAATATTTGATTCTGTTAGTACTATGTTGATTGTCTTGTTTTCTCTTTCTCTCTTTGTCAATCGTTCCAAAAACAAGTTTTATAAATAGGTAATTATAAAATTTTTTTATACTTTATTGTTTTATACTTACAAATTATATGTATTTTAGATAATATTATAAAGTAAATTTTTAATGCCATTTTAAAATTACATCATTACATCACACATTATTGAATCCTGATATGAGAAATCTCCATTATCTATTATCGAGCATATCATTTGGTATATATTAGAATCGGTTTGGGAGCCACCGGAGGAGGGTTACATGACTCTCGCGGAACAAGAAGAGGAGGCGAAAGAGGAAACGCTCCAAAAGGAGCTTATGGAACAATTGGACAGGGAGGAAGTGATCGAGAAAGCGGATATTCTCGAGGAACAACGAGCCAATCTCGAGAGAGAGAAAATGAGGGAACATGTGGCACAACCCTCTAGAAACGACAACGATATCAAAGATGACAACGAAAGCGCAGGAATAAAGAAGGAGGCAGCCAAAGAGGAACGACCTTACCGGCGAGACTACAGTGTGCCCGAGAGACCGCAACCTTATGGATCCTGGCAAGTTGTGGAGACAAGGTAAATATTTGAACGCTGCATTATTCCGGTCGCCAAGATGGATTAAGACATTTTTCACGGGGATTTATCGCGTGGCGACGAATCTTTGCTCTTAATTTTCAAGTGCGAATATATAAGATACAGTATTTCTATATTTTTACGATTAAATGCATAATTTCTCAAATCGCTGAATTAACAGATATAAAAATATTAGATTTGTTATATTTTTTTTATATTTGTGTATGGCGATCGAAAATTAAAAAAGTTTGTAAACTCGGAATGAAAATTGCTATAGAGCTTAAGCTATATTAATTGCTTTATGCTATTTATTGATTAATGATTAACGCACAATATATAGCTGTATGTATCGTTTATTAACTTGTATATTAATGTGCGCCTCCATATTCGAAGATTGAGCAGTTTTACGCGGAGAAAAAGATGAGAAAATGTTTTATGCTTTAGCAAAAAGAAACCAGTGGATCTCCAATTACCGCAAAAACAGAAGCAGATACAACTGCCTATGTTTAAGAAGACAGAACCAACGCCTCCGCAAAGGACTTTTAAGGAAAAAATTGTCACACAGATTAATATCGATGATAGTGATGACGAAAGTGCACCGACCACTTTTAAGAGAAGAAAAATTGGTAACAAGAACGTGCGTAAAAGAACAACTGATGATTAGCATCAGAATTTTTTTTCTGGATATAGTGTTCTTGTATATATTTTTATTTAATTGTTAAAATGTTTGTTAAACAAACATGGAGAATTTGTATGGACAAATATCTTTGATAGCTCATAATATTTGTGAGCTGGAAGTTTACATATAAATATAATAGATTCTTCATTTATATATACTTAACTGTGCATAGGTGGTATATGTAGATATAAAAAAAATGTTATTTTATCACAGATAGCAAATGCACGTCATGCCAAAATAACATTATCTGACATCCAAATGACATTATTTGGCGTCAAAATGATGTGTGTTTGTTAGCTGGGATATAACATATATGTATGTACATTAATATATATATACATTAGTACAATTTCGATTGTAAATAAAAAGTCTGACTCTGTATTTTATATAAAAATTTTTATTTTTTTTATTTTATTAATATTAATTTTATTAATATTAATTAATTAATACTTTTTAATATAATAGTTGAGATACATTTGCATGTTTGAGAAATCTAATTAATATAATAATAATAATTATCAATGGAATTTATATATGTATAATAATAGAATACTAATTGAATATATATATATTTTTTTTATATACAACTTTTTGTTCTTATCTTTCATGATAATATATTGCTATTCATAATCTTGTTTGCATTATTATCTGAATATTATCAGCATCAGTATTAGTCAACATTGCATCATATCTATGTACTCATATGCACATGGTTGCATTGTTATAAAGCAAATCTACGAGATAATATATAACATTACATTATATGTTGCGTATCATTCTGACATATTTAATATTGATAAAACGAAATTTCACGAGACAGTAAATAGAACAGCTAAAATATATACGCGAGACTCATTTCCTCTTTAAAGTCGTCACAATTATATGAAGCAATTTGCAAATTTAGTTACTTTGTTTTTGGGATATATCAAGAAGATAGAAACATTGCACATATAACTTACATGAAATAAATACTTAAACAGATAACTGAATTTTAAATAGCGAATGTATAAATGTTAAAATATGTGCGCAATTTGAAGATAAATAAAAATTATTGTGAACATTACACATATTTTCAATATAGGAAATAATCTTTAAGAAACTGACGGCATATACTTTTCCATAAAGCTATGTACAGCATGTATATATACAGAAGTTCGCATTTAAAAACACTGAGAGCAAACAAATTGAGTAATGAAGATATTAGTTTTTCATAAATCTCTCTGTTAGAATACTTTTAGATGGACACTTTATATATGCGGAAAACATTTTTACACGTGTACCGCATGCACCAAATCCGTTCCGATGTTATCCTTAATGTTCTTATTCTTTTCATACTGCAAATCTCCATTGAGCTCATCCACAATATCCTCGCGCGTCCGTCCTTTAGTCTCCGGCACCAATATAAAGCAGAACAAGAAAGTGCAGGCGCAGCAGATGGCGAGGAAGAAGAAGCAGCCGTGCATACCTAGTAGAGTGATGAGATCGGCGAAGGTCTTTATTATGATGAAAGATGCGGCCCAACACATGGTGAGACCCACAATCGAGGCCATACTGGTCACGTCGCGGCTGAATATCTCGGACATTATCACGACGGGTCCGTTGCCCATTCCTGCAGCATACACTATCACGAAGATGGACAGTGCTGCGATCGGTATCCAACCGTAAGCGGATATATCATATTCTAAGTTCTGGAGATAGCAGAATGCGCCGAGCACACAATGACACATGCACATTCCCACACAGGATATCAGGAGCAAAAGCCGTCTACCCATATGCTCTATTAAAGATGTCGACAGACATGAACCAAGAACCATGATAACTCCCACAATGATGGACGACGTGTTCGGCGATAACGAACTGCCGGCTATTTGGAAAATACTTTCCGTGTAACTGATCTGGATGAAAAAGTCAGAAATTTATCAGCTTATTTTATAAGAATGAAGACTTTTTGCATAGATAGAGAATGAATGAAAGAAACAACTTGTACAACTTTCAATGTGATTTTCCATTAATATATTAAATAAATAATAATTGAGAAAAGCGAAAAAATGATATAAATCGCTATATTCAATTTGATTTTATCATAAAAAACTTTGCTATGAGATGAAATCATATTTTTTCACTTTTTGTGAATAAGAACAGTGTCGCTTTAAATGTCTGAATTCGTAAGTAGAGATAATAATTTAATACAGATGAAAAATATATAAACGAATTTATAAATAATTATCGATAATTACCACTGCAAAGATTCCGGAAAATTGTTGACCGGCGAACAAACCCAAGATGATGATCAGTCCTTTAATCGTCGCTTTGTCTCTAAATAAATCTGACAGCTTGGCGGATCTCATGGACGTGACTTCCTTAATTTGCAATTGTAGATGCGACAATGCCTGTTCTACCGCCAAAGTGTTTCCAGCTTTCAATCGATTCAACGATCTGGAACAGCGAATAACAATATTCTGTCGCGATGCTTTCAAGGAGAATATTTCTCTCTTCATCCCACTTACTTAATTGCTTCATGCATACGATTTCGACGCACTAAGTAGACCGGCGATTCCGGTATGAACACAAAAGTAATCAGGAACAACGCGCTCATTATCGCGCCAACCACAGCGAGGTTGTATAGAGACATCATGCCGCCTAAGATGTAAGCCAGCAATATCCCAGTATTGAGGGAGAATCCTATAATACTTGCTAATATACCGCGGATGCTGTCGCTCGAAATCTCCGACACATAGTTTGACACTAAGAAGAATATACTGGCACCAGTAATACCGTTCAGGGCTTTCGCTACGTAAATATGCATGTGTTCGGTGGCGAAAATGATCAACAGCCAGGAGAGTATCATCGGCAACGTTAACACGTAACCGAATCTCTTACGACTGAATTTGTCGGGTATCACTAAAAGCAGCATGGTCATGAAGGTGCCCACCAGGGTCAAAATGCCGTTCATCCAGGATATATTGTCGTCCGTCATGGGTTCACTTCCTACGACCGGCAATGGATTTTGTAGTTGCGGAACTGACGGTGATTGCCATCCCATCATGAACCCATAGGACACCGATGATAGATTTACTGCAAAGAATAGATGATTATTCAACACGAAATAAAATCAACACAAAAATTTAATAGAAACTTTTTAATCAAAGAGATTCTTCAAATAAATATTTTAGAATTGTAATGTTTTTTATTTAGCTAACTATTAGTTATTTATTTATAAAACTCTTCAATTTGTATTTTTATGTTTTTTATATTTATCTTTTTCCTAATTTTTCTATTTTTTTTAAGGGCTACCGTTCGTTATAGAAAATTTTCAATTATGGAGTTTTTGCATTACTGCTCAAGTGTTTCTTATTGAAAGATGTCGATCCGTCACAAGATATATTTCTTGAAGAGAATGAAAGAAAAAGGGAATTCTTTCTCCCTTTCTAACTCACCGATCACCGCGAACATAAACTGCCGCAACTTGCCTGGCTCCTGCAACTTCTCATTCTTTTCCATCGCACGTCGTTCTTTCAAAAAAGTGCAATTGCAATGGTAGCGTCTTTCAAGACTGTCGATAGACTCGCGCCAGGAATCGAGGAGGGACAGAATTCATGAACGACGGGGAACCAATTAGCACAAACGGAAAGGTAGCCCCTCACGTCTCGTACTCGACCGACATGCGTGTTATAATTTAATTTATAATGATAGCTATTCGCGCGTATATTCTTGTCGCAAGGGACATCCTTATCTTTTCGTCATTCTCGCTAACAAAGACAATAAATGATATGCGCATATTCTTTGCACATAGCAAATACTTTATTTTGTCGGATTTATCATCGTGTTCCCGATCGGCAATATGTTTAATACTTTTGGTTCATAAATACCAATTGTCAAATATGTCGAAGATATATATATATATATAAATATTATATGTAATAAAAACAAAATTTTACATATATATTTTTTATCAAATGAAAATATTATGTATAAGATTTAAGTCGAGAAACGAATGATTTTTTATTTATAAACAATTCAAGCTATAAAGCGCGATAAGAGAGAGAATAAAACTTATTAAATATGCATCTCAAATGTAGACACCTGTACATATATATTCTTGGCATATTTGGCAGCTTTGATTTATAAATCAAAAAAATCTTACGATATATTTAAAAAAAGATTTATATTAAGATTACATTATAAGTAAAAGTTTTCTTTTTATGCGAGATTCATGTTGATATGGTTGTCGATACTTTATACTTAAGCTATTTATCATATCACGATAATGCAAAGTATCTTTTCAAGAAGGGTCTAGCTATTTGTCAATTTGGGGATAATGATGTCTCTTTTTCGCTGTAGTTCTAAATCATTGCAATGTACATAAGCGAATGTGATCCATATTGATATATTGTCGGCGCATATCGAAGAATTTACGCCGCTTTCCAACTGATTTCGAATTGATTGATAAAATTATGACTGGCGCGAGCTTATTGTGATACGAAAGATGTGTCTGCATTCGCATGATAACGCGTACGGTAAATGTGTAATTTTTGATGATTCGAATGATATCGAACGCAAATACGAACTTGTACCGGATTTAGTATAAGCCATCTTACATATCTATAGATTTCTTAAGTTATTTGGAATTGATTTTAGTCATTACTTGTCGCAAGATTTTAATCAACATTAAGTATTTTATATTTATTACTTCACAAGATAGCAAATCTACTGTATCCGCTTTAAATTGAGCGAATAATAACGTTTTACTATCGGTTTCTTTATTAAGAGAATAGGCACAGTTGCGAGATCATATGATAAAATTATCTATCATTGTGTTTCTTTTTCTCAACACTGAGTTAATATATCTGAATAATTTTTTTACTTTTTTTCTCATATCGACTACATATTGGTCGATACTTTTATCTAAAAATAAGCTCCTTCTGAATTTTAATTATATAGATATTTGAATTAAAAATGAAATGTGTTGACTTTTTGGATAATTTGAATTGTTTATAACTTTTGATAAAATTATATTTCTTTTTACTGCGCGCAAGCGATTATAATTTATTTCTGAACGGTTATTAAAAAATGTAATAATCGGACCAATGGTTTTCAAGAAGAGGACACATAAAGATCGAAAGACATATTTCTTACGGGTCTTTCTTTTTAAAGAAAGATTGATCTATCGAGCTCTTTTTAAATTCAAATATTGCGCGTCGTGTTTGATGTTGCATTAGTACCAATCGTAACGCGTTAGAATGAGTTCGGTAATCCTATCCGTAAAGTGAATCGGGACAAAAAGAGCAAAGATTTCTTTGTCCTCATTGGTCAATTAGAAGCTACTCTACCTCACGGATAAAATTTTCGAACGCATTCTTATAACACGACTTATATTGGGTAACGTGTGTGTGACACGGTTTATTCAGATGTAGCCAATTAGATTTTCGGAGCTATTTGAAAAAGATATTTTGAAATCCCTGTCGGACGAAATTCGCGCGGAAAATATTTTTCTATCTATAGCTGACGCGACCAAACTCGCATCCAAAATGCGCAAAATCGATCGACCGCTCGGAATGCCTTATAACAACGACGACGTAAATAGAATTGCAACAGTTATGTAATTGAACTCTCTCGGTAAGTAATCTTTTCTCAAATAGAAACACAACTGAGTATTTATTTCTTTATTTGTCATAGTTTTATCCATCGCAAGCTTTAAATTGACGAAATTGGAAAAGGAGAATTGTTGTTTTTATTTTATTCGATACTTTATCAATGACGTGTAAAATAATACAACTTTACAACTTTTTTTTTTATGAGTTCGAATAAGTTGCCAAGTCATTCGTCTGCTAGCATTTAAATCTGCACATATTGTCAGAAATTCGGGGTCACGTTGCGCGTCACGATAGTCCCTTATCTCGCGAACAAGGAGCAAATCGATAAGCGTATCGCATCAGCTGTTTTATAATCCCCACCAGTAATGCTCCCTTAATTTCACTACTCGCTACCTGTATTCTCACGGCCATGTTAGGCACGGATATACAAGAGGAATGAGGACGTTTCGCAATAAATGAGACTTTATTGAAGTCTTCGAGGTGCGTTTAATTAATCTTTTGTTTTTTTTCATTTTTTCATTGATGTTTGCCTTAAAAAATTGTCACGTAAATTACACGATCGTTAGAAATTGTTCTCGTAAGCCCATTGTCAATCTGTCAGTCGAATCTATATGTTGTTTTATGTTTAGCAGATCTTCTTGGCTACGCTACAAAGCCTGTGGATTGTAAGAGATAGTCCACAAAGCATGGCATGGCACTGCAACGGCACTACAAATCAAGAGATGGTGACAAAGTTGAAAGGTAAATGATCCCTGCGTGATTATCACAAGATTGGCTTAATTTATGCAAACAAGAGTGTTGAGTGTTTCTTTTTGTTGGACACAATCATTTATCTGTATAGCAATTAGGGACAGATTATTCACAGATGCTGGCATATTGGCAACGGATAGGGCAGAAGCTGCAATGCTTACTGTTGACAGAGCAAAATATTGCCATGAATCGGATCCTTACCTTGATCGTCCTAGAAGAATTGGTTACAACGTGACAATCAGTGCACCACATATGGTAAGCATATATTTTAAATTGTATATATTTTAAATTTTACAAGGCCTGATATCTTTTTGTACACAGAAGAAAATTGTACAGATAATTATCTTTTTGATACTTATTACATTAAATAAAAAAAATGTATAAAAATCATATAATTTTTGTAAATATAGGTAATCTAGAGAAAGAGAGATATGATTAAGCTATCTCAATACAATTTTTACAAAGCTTTTTAAATAAAATTTTGATATATAGATTTTTTTGCTTAATACATTTTTTATATTTTTTTTATATTGATGTTTCTGATTATTGTACAAAATATAAATTGATTTTAATACACACATAAAATAAGGATATCAAAGAATACTCTCCTTTTATCTCATCTTTATATTATTTATGTTAAGCTCATATTTGGTTTGAGATAATCAGAGATTTTCCAAGCAACAGTATTGGCATATTACACATAGATAAATGTCATTGAAGATATATACATTCCTCGAGTTGTTTAATCCGCTCGATAAATCACTCGTGTATTATATCTTTTGCAGCATGCATACGCATTGTCAATCCTCTCCGATCAACTCTTTGATGGCGCCAAGGCCCTTGATGTCGGTTCAGGCTCGGGATATCTATCAGCCTGCATGGCGTACATGGTAGGCTCGAACGGACGTGTAATCGGTATCGAGCATATTCCCGAGCTTATAGAGATTTCTACTAGGAACGTGCGCGAAGACAATCCGCATTTTCTCAAGGAAAACCGCATCAAATTCATCGGTAAGCTGCCAGTACTTTGTTAACATTATGCCTCACTGTTATCGACTTCGGAATTCCATTTGACAATCGAAGTTCTTTCCTTTAACGCGTCAATATTACGCCATTCCTTCGTCTCTCGTTTTATTATAGAAATTTGTCGTACAATAAAAAAAGAAAACGTTCAAAAAGTATTACATGTTTGCATAATTCGAATAAAAGATACTCGTGATCCATCCACGTGGAGTAGGTATGTACGTTGCCGTGAAGAGTCAAACGGAACACTGTCCACTGACTATATGGCTTTGCTGTAAAGGTAAAAGATAAAGACTGCCGACTAACAACAGGTCATTATGAATGCGCCTAGTGGGAGACGGCAGATTGGGACACGCTGCTGACGGCCCTTACAACGCTATACACGTTGGAGCAGCGGCCGATACTTTACCGCAAGAGGTAAACGTAAGCAGTATATAAAGTTTATATAGCAGTAGTAAATAAAGCACACAGTATATAGAAAATTTACACGATAATGTACAAAGAAAGGCTATAATCGTGCGACGATGTAAACAGTGCAAATTATTACAGTTGATAAACCAACTAGCTCCCGGAGGTCGACTGATATGCCCAGTCGTGGCTATAGAAGGTTTCCAAAGGTTTCAAGATCTGCTGCAGGTGGACAAGAATACAGACGGCACGATCACGAAGAAGAAACTGATGCAAGTCTCTTATGTTCCTCTAACAGATCCTACTACTCAATTACGTAATTAGAGTTTTTAGAATGAGGTCTCTTCACAGCGAACGCGTAACTCGAGCAAGCAATTAAACAATCCGTCAATCAACGATAATCGGAATTTGTATTTATGAACCAATTCTTTTCATGCATGCATAAACATGAAACATGCTTCCTTTTCGAGAGATTAGGAATATAATAAATTATATTTTACATATGTGTATTCCCCTCCCCTATTAATTTCTTTATATAATCCACTTAAGTTAACATTTTGCGAATTGCAGTCACGAATATATTTATTGATTATTTATGTTTAATGCAATTCGCGCGCGATTATCATATTCTGTAGTCATAAAAGTCTAAATTTGTTGCAGCATGGAGATTCATGCTATTTTATTTTTGTAGATAATATATATTAAATATTCCAATTCTTATGCACGCAAAGGGTTGTAACGAATTAATAATAAAAAGATAAATCTTTATATATAATGAGAGATAAAATACCATTTTATATATACTATTGTATATTTTGTTTCTAACTCTTGCTCACATGTATTGTACGATATCGAATCCGAAATATATTTTTATGTTCAACAATTATATAACATAATTTACATAAATAAGTGTTGTACAAGGAAAAGCTAAAAGTTGTGTAAAAGCTCGTAAAGATAGCTTATCAAACAATTGTGATTTATGCAAATAAGTATTGTATGATTCTAGGAAAAGCTAAATTAACACAAAAATATAGCTTATCAAACAATCTTCATTTAAAACTTTAAACTTTATTAGAACAATAAAAGTATACGGATGTTTGATCGTATATATGTATGTAGGTATAATACATATATCTGAAGAAAACAGCACAAATTATTCATAATCGAAATGATGGAGCATCATTTGGATATCGAGCGAAATTCGCGAGGGATCGATCAAACATGCATGCAGCATCCGCCAATCGGAAATTGTTACCCAATCGCATCGTCGGTTGCTTTCTACGCGTTATAGATCCGCGGCAATCTACGACGTTTCAACATCTATTTTGAAAAACGACGTGCGCAACGAGTTCGCGCGATTGCTCAATATTCCCCGACAATCTCGTAATCCACGTCGATCCGGTCGAATCATCGCGAGACTGTCGGTGAAGCGATACAAAGCGATACTCTGTCACATCGTGTCCTAAATCCTACAGTTAATTCGAATCAACTGAAATAAAAGAGCAGATTAGAATAAGCTCGGTCGGCGAATATGTTTTAAGGAAATCGAACCATTTATCGAGAGCTAGCGGATAGCTAGGTGCGTATCGAATATTCAAAAATAACTTCGGGGGTGCGATTGACCGGATAATAGATCGCCGGTTTGGAGTGTTTGTTTTGACCCAACAAGCCGGTCGCCGCCACGCTTCTCTCCAAAATTCGAACCCGCGTCGTCGAGTATTCCTGCTCGACGCTCGCGATCTTCTCCTCTGTCGTGCTCGCATGCAATATGGCTATGTACGGACGTTATCACGGTAGGAACAATGAAGAGCTCGTCCAACATCTCAGGCGTAAGTGGTGCGACTGTTATGCAATGTTATGTCACATCGTCCCACACGCCGATGTTACACCGCTGCTCGCTTTGACGTCAAAGTTTTTTTTTTGTCAATTTAGGATTAGACGTCAGTTTATTCCATGAAAAAAAGAAATATTTACAATCTACTCTATATTTGAATCTAAGCCACTCAAATTTTAATTGAAAGACTAAATACATTAAAATGAATAATTAATCCTCTTTATGTTTTAATCTAGAATAATTTAAAGTTCGGTTGTGATAAGTCGAAAATATATGGATACTTAAATTTCATAAAATTCTGCTTACATCAGTTTACACATCCTTGCAAAACATTGTTATATATCGTAATTAATCAAAATTATTTTTAGGATCCAGAGTGATTAAATCTGATAGAGTGTTTGAGGCAATGAATTCTGTGGACAGAGGAAAATATACTCATCCTAACCATGCTTATATAGATGCTCCACAAGGGATAGGTTACGGCGTCACCATTAGTGCTCCCCATATGGTATAATCATTTAATTTAATTTTTATTTTTTTTTTCATTACACATAAAGATGTCAATAAATTATAATATATGTATATTTAATACATATTGATCAAAAGATTATAAGATCGAATGTGATATGTAAAAAAATTTTATTTAAAAATGAAGTATCACTCAGCGACTCTTGATAATAGTAAATAAATGAATATACACACACATACAAGTGAAAAAAACGATAGAAATAAAATTACAATTTGGAAGACAAATGGAAATTCTTTAGCATGCGTATGCCCTGGAATTGCTTGAAGAGAAACTGCGTAATGGTGGAAAGGCATTAGATGTTGGTTCTGGTTCAGGATACTTGACAGCATGTATGGCCATTATGTTAGGAACACATGGATTAGCTGTTGGAATCGACCATATTCCAGAGCTTCGAACAATGGCTGAAGAAAATATTCGACACGACAATCCAGAACTTTTGCGCGAAGGACGTGTGGAATTAGTTGGTAAATAAAATTCTATTTTTAAACAATTATATACATTGCTTGTTACAAATCTACTTGTCTTTTTTTCATATAATAAAATTATTTAATTGTGATTGTAATTGTTTAGTCGGTGATGGGAGATTGGGATATCCTGATCGTGCACCATATAACGCTATTCATGTGGGAGCAGCCGCTAAAGAACTGCCGCAAGCGGTAAGTGAAATGCTCAAATTGTTCTCGGATGTGCTGGGATAAATATTAGAGAGAAATATCTTGCGATTTATAGTTGATAGATCAATTAGCACCTGGTGGACGTTTAGTAGTGCCAATGGGCCCCGAGAACTCGGATCAAACCTTAGTGCAAATCGATAAGACTATGGATGGCAAAATCAAGCAGCGGCCACTAATAGGAGTGATGTTCGTCCCACTCACCGATAGGGAACGACAATATCGTCGATCATGAGATACGTGTCTGCTCCAATAAGTGAGCGCCACTTTATTATTTATAATTACAAGTATTATTTTATTATTCTAACATTGTACACAACTTTACTCACGTAAAACGTGTTAGAGAAGCAATTTAACTGCATCAAATACATAATTTTGTTAAAAATTTTTATAAATATTAATCAAAATCTAGCATTAGAAAATATTTCTGTATCTTTGAGATTACCAACATTTAGAATTAAGTTTTTATTTTTTTGGTATCATATTTTATTAAATGTATTAATTTTTTTAATAAGAGAACAACTAGATATTGTTGTAATTTTTGCTTGCAGAAAATTTTGCTTTGTATCTAAATATGCAATAATGTCGATTAGTGATATTATCTAGTCTTTAGATATTACATAAATATAATATATATATGAATAGTAACCGTCAGGAAAAAGAACTAGATTTAAACTAATGGCTATGATATTTAAATTATAATGTTAATATAAACTTATAATTTGCAGTTGTGTTTAATAATAATATTATTATAATAATATAATAGTTGTATTTAATAATGATAAACATAAAACTTTAATTTACATGATATAAATAAGACACAAGAGATTCTTTTCGCTTTAAGCCAAAATCTAAAGTATAATTTTCTATTTGACTTTTTGTATTATTTATTTGCTCGATAATAAATTTTTATGTTAAGTTTCTTCAAGATCCCATTTTACAAATTAAATGAAAAGAGAATTATATACAATTAAGCAGTTTATTTATTAACGATATGTATAAAATTGTTTACATTTTTCTGTATAATAAGACTTTTATAAATAATATATATAATATATAGTATATTATTTATTTTCTATGGTTTAATTGATCTGTATTTATGATCTGTGTATCCTCTCCAATTATTGATCTGTATTTCTTAAAGTTATAAATATAGATGCAGTATTTAAAAATAAATATATGTATTTCAAAAAATATACATTTAAAATATACAATGACTAGAATCAGAAATACTTTATATATTTTCATGTTATATATACATATTACATAAATATTTTTATAATCATATTTCATCCTAGATAATAAATATGTTACAAATTATATAAATTGCACGACACTAGTAATACGAAGTTTTCTCAATTATTACATCATTCTATACGTGTGTATCTGTACGTATGTGTATGTGTAAAATATGTATTATACGCACACACACATATATATATATATAATATAGTCAAATAGAATATGAGTGATTGTGTCATACAACTATAACAAGTTAATAATTAATCATAAAAAAATTATGTTTATATACAGAGATCCGTTCGAGTTTTTAGTAAAATCGTCGAGAGCAAGAATTTTTGTCCGCAGAAAGATGAAAAATTCTCGTAAATCATCAACGGTTTGAGAAAATGGTAATCGAAAATACAGCTGAACAGATATATTTTACATTATTATATTAATATTATTATATTTAAAAGTTCGAGATTTAAACATTTCGCTTTATGATCCTATATGATTTGGAATGTACGAAATGGGCAGTGAAATCAAGTATTTTATTTACATCCGTCTTCAGTTACATAATTAAACATTAAAGAGCCTTTACCATATACAAGCTAAGCGCTGCACCAGATGCTAATCCTATACCCAAAAAAGCTCCCATCATTGCAGATGCAACTTCTTTTTCTTGGCTGTCCACAACTCTGTGTGAAGTTGATATATAAGATAATAGCATAAAATATATTATACATAATCAAAACATTTTTATAGTTGATGGTACTTACATGGGCACGAGAATAAATGTTAAATTACAGAGATAACCGTTAGTTATGGCGAACACGATAGTTATCAAAATGTAATATATATCATTGTGAATATAAACAGGCAGGTGATGTCTCGGTTGCGCATTACAAAACATAAGTACAGGTATAAAAACACTTCTAGCAACGCTCATAAACATCACGAGCCATGGATTACCTTTCGGCTGGAATGACAAAACAACTGATAGAAATATCTTGCATAAAAGCAATGCAAATTTTGCAAATTAAAACACAAATTCTCACCCATTGAAAAATACCGGATAATACTCTTCCAGCATAATCGCCTGTACTAAAGATGAGATACGTCACCACAGGTACAAAATATATGTCTAAAAGAATCATTTCAGATTTTTCATTCGTAAATTTATTTGTTTCAAATCGCGCGGGATGTGGAATATTATATTGAAACATATTTGCAGAAGTCTCTGCTTACCATTCCACGCATGGCCTTTCCCCTTGTATTGACTCTCCACTAATACAGTAATCGCCGGATATACGGCCAGCGATATGAAAAATACAAGAAATATGCTAACGCCGTAATGCCAGATCCTTTTTATAATCCGCGTGTAGGACACATTTGAATCTGCTGAGAAGCTAACTTCTCCATTTATCGAGTAATCGGATTTCGAACGATCAGGTACCATTTCTATCATTTGATGCTTGAAAAATGGCTAAAAAGAAAAATAGAGAATTGTTTTTATTAGAGCAATGACTCTTAAGCTGGACTTCGCGAATCCGATTGATAGAGTTTAAAAAATTTCTACAAAGTTGATAAAGCTTGAGAGTTCCTCGAGTGAATCATACATAATTTAATTCTATTTCTCGACAAATAAATTGTGCAGTAATACAATATGCTGCTGTGACACATATAATGCCTTTTATCATTTTATCATAAGTAACTTAGCATACATTATAGAACACCTGTGTCGCGATGCATCATCTCGGTATAAATACAATGACTATTAGTGATGATCTCATTTTGCATATGACAATGGCTAATAGGATTGAAAACTCGATGGCAAGTTAATCCCGGTATGTTTGATAAAATTAACTTACCGCTCTCTCCAAAACGATATAAGCGATCAATGATAACAAGAGCACGATATCGCCGATAATGAAATATACCAAGCCGGAAAGTGCCGGACTGGCGCCTATCCACAAAGAGCAAACTTCCGCTAGGGCTGTAAATATTCCACCGAGGGCTTGTCCGCCGGACATAGCAGTTATATATTTCGGCGAAAATTTACCCACTATACCCATTAGACTCCCTCCAAAAATGGCACTTGCAGCTGGAATTTTATATTATTAAGTAACAATATATTCTCATGACAAAACTACAATCACTGGAATTATTACATTTTTGTTACAAATTTAATTATTTGAAGACACATACACACCATTTACGAGTGCAACTGTCAGCAAAGTAACAATTAGGAATGGATTTTGCCCTAAAAATGTGAAGTTTTATTTTGTTTTTAAAGTATGATAAAAGTAGTTCTAATTATTACAAGATATAATGGATATAAAGATAAAATAAACTGTGATCACTTACATTTGTCAGTGTCCATTTCAACAAATGTAGTTGTTATGATAAAAAGCAGCAATATTGTACATTGAGAACCCACCATCCTTACAGTTAGAGAGATTCTGGGTATTTAAAGATTTTGATTATTAAACATTATGTATACTTTCTAATATGGTTCCAAGTTACTTATAATTTTTCTAACTTTTCTATACAATACATTAATACAAATAAATTGCAACAAGATAATTAGTTATGTAATGATAGAAATTTTATTATAATTATATTTTACATGTTTGTAATTTTTTGTATGCAATTTCTTTCAATTTTTCCCAACTGATTTCAATTTCAATAGTGCTTTTAAGTCCAAAAAAATAATCAAGAATAAATCTTAACTTTAAATCATTCTGTATAGATAAATATTGCACACCGATATACTTTTTATAACAATTATTTTATACTAATGACTTTTCACCCACCTCTTGCTAATAAATGCGTTTATTATTAAAAAAAGAGTACTTGGCAACGCACTGGCGACACTTAAATAAGATGTAAAACTAGCTTGAAGATCCGTCTTTTGCTCAAATAATTCTGCATATGTATGAGTAAGGTTTGTCACATTATGAATTTCTCTGAATTTATACATCCAGTACTGGAAGAAAGAACATTATATAGCCAACAATATTCCAGACATAATTATGAAAAAAATAAAACTTAGTCTCTTACATCATCAGCAGTAATAAAAAAACTCCATGGGATTAATGTATTTATTCCAAGTAAGTAAAATACAATATATGCAAAATTATACCTAAAATATGGAAAAAGAAAAATTATAGATACATATGTAAATAGACTTTAACAATAGATAATTTTTAAATTAAATCTTAAGGTTGTAAAAAACATACTTGTCATGTGGCTCGTATGGCTTTAAAAATGGTTTCTCATCAGGGATTGCAATATTAGAATCATCTACCTCAGTCTCTAAATCATCCTCGAATTCGCTATCAGATGCACCTCCTAATAAAGGTCTTCTATTGATGGAATACATGACTTTTTCCTGATAGATAACAAATTATACAATGCTTCATAAAGGAATTTAGAACAAGAAAATGCATGCAGTTTCTTTGCATCGCTTTGCAATATAAATCAGTGCACATTATGAACATGCAGTGCATAATAATATATGACAAATAAATGTAACAGTTTTTAAACATTATAAATGTACATCAATATTTTATTATCGATGAAATTTTATTGTTCACGAATTTACAAATGGACAAAGCGTTCTTCAAACTAAACAATCATATGTTGTTACAGGAAGCAGTACTTACGGAATTTGTAACAAAGGTGCTTTACGCGAAGAATAGACGTCGTGGTTCAAGTGCGAAGAAACTTATAAAGAATCACGTACGATCGTCGAAAGCAACTGATACATCTCAGACGAGATCACGAATGAGTCTGGAACACATGAGGGACCATGTTTCGAGAGTGAAAAATTCGGGTAGAAAAATTTAATTATTATGTAGCATCATCCGCTTTATCTGATTACGTTTGTGAGTCGTGTCTAGCCAATCGCTCGTGGCGTCTACGAACAATTGACATTTTTCGACTACATTATTGGACTGCATCACACGTTGTGTATACCATACCACTCCGCCTACCACCGCCTACTACAATGGTACGCGTACGCTTTGACACGGATTGACACGAGATTTGTTCTTTTTAAAAGAACTTCTTGCACTCTTCTTGTTTTTCCTCTCTTTCTCTTCAACTTGTAAATATATATCTATCTCATTTTATTCCGTTCCAGTTCAGAAAAGCAAACCTATTCGTGACACGCGCGCGCGCGTCGATCAGCTGATTGGTGGATACACGAATGAGGTATAGAAAATATAGCCAATATAGAAAAACTCACATCTGCTTACACTAGCGTCCTCTTGATGAATTTAGTCTTGCAATTGCGCGGGAAATTGAGCGGCAAGCATACAGGTTACCCGCGTCTGGAATATACTTTGGAATAAGAGTATAAAATTGTCGCACGCAATCTTGTCAACTATGTCGAGTCCTATGAGACCGCCGAGGACCCCTGTTCCACAGGATGATGACGGTTCGACGAACGGCACGCCGAGGCGGCAGCCTCGGACTCCGACCTCTGTCAGAGCTCCTTCGGTTGCTGGTACACCTAGCACTATTGGTTCCGCGTCTACGAGACAAGGTTAAAGAATACTTTTTAATGGAATGTCTTCATTGAAAAAGAGGTGTATATAAACTACAATATTTGTTTTGCATCATTACATAGGTACGCCTCAGAGGAGACCAGGCAATAATCCGGTAGACACTCCGTTACGATGGGGCAGCCGTCACGCACAGGAGACCATTGCGCCATCATCAGAGGGTCTTTCCTCTGTGCCATTGTCTTCTCCGAATCGATTGGTACAAACAAGCCCTCTTGCTGCGGGTATGAGCGAAGTAGAGTTATCTTCTCCTTTGAATTATGGAACACCTAGTTCTTTGGCATCGGTTCGCACTCCTCGCAGTGGTATCAGGGGTACACCAGTGCGACAGAGGCCAGATGTTCAGTCTGACAGACGTATGCGACAAGTTAATTTGGCTGAAGTAAGTTAAAAAATCATGTAGCGATATTATTAATTACATTATTAACGTACATTAATATATAGATATTATTAATTACATTATTAACGTAATTAAATTTTATTGACAGATACCAGAAGAACCCAATGTTCAAAGAACATCAGAAACTGAAAATGGTCCGCAGTTAGTTATCTGGGGTACAAATGTTGTAGTAGATCAGTGTAAAGAACAATTTAAACGATTTATTTTACGATTTATCGATCCGGAAGCAGAAAATGATGAATTGCCTGAGAACATGAATCTATCAGATCCACTTTACTTGCAAAAGCTCGAAGAGATACATACACTCGAAGAACCTTACTTGAATATAAACTGCGCTCATCTCGAGGCATTCGACGAACAGCTTTACAATCGATTGATATGCTATCCACAGGAAGTGATACCAGCTTTCGACATGACTGCGAATGAAATGTTCTTCGAGAGATACCCTGCGGCGGTATTGGAGCATCAAATTCAAGTACGGCCCTATAATGCTACCAGAACCAAAAGCATGCGTCTCCTGAATCCTGAAGACATAGATCAATTGATCACGGTCACTGGTATGGTTATTAGAACATCGAACATCATGCCGGAAATGCGAGAGGCGTTCTTCAAGTGTATTGTGTGCTCTTTCACGGCGACCGTGGAAATCGACAGAGGTCACATAACCGAGCCCACAGTGTGCACACATTGTAACAACAATTACTGCTTCAATTTGATACACAATCGCAGTCATTTCTCCGACAAGCAAATGATCAAGCTGCAAGAATCGCCGGACGATATGCCAGCTGGTCAAACCCCTCATACAGTGGTGCTTTTCGCACATAATAATTTAGTTGACGCTGTCTCACCAGGTGATAGAGTTTCCGTCACCGGTATATATCGCGCGTTACCGATACGCGTTAATCCGCGACAGTCCAATGTACGCGCTATCTACAGAACACACGTTGACGTTGTCCACTTCAGAAAACAAGATTCGAAGCGGTAAGATACATCTCAGATTTGCACTTTTTAGTTGTATTTTATTAAATTGTATATATTATAGTTTAGTACTAATTATGTATAAAGTATGTATGTTAATTTTGATTATTTGTTACACATATAGACTGTATGAGCAAGAGGAGGGCAAGGATCACGCATTTCCACCGGAGAGAGTGGAATTATTAAAACTCTTGTCACAAAAGGAAGACGTGTATGAACGATTGGCACGGCACATTGCTCCCAGCATTTACGAAAACGAAGATGTAAAGAAGGGAATATTGTTGCAATTATTCGGCGGGACAAAGAAAGAACAAAGTAAATCGAGTAAGAAATATTTTCGGTCTGAAATAAATATACTTCTGTGTGGAGATCCAGGTACGAGTAAATCGCAGCTGTTACAATTCGTCTTCAATCTGGTACCGCGCTCGCAGTATAGCAGCGGAAAAGGTATAAATATACTTATTGATAGCGATAACGTCACATTTAATTTAGTATTTGTTTCCGTATATTTCATGCTTGTAATCTTTTTTTTTTTCAGGTTCCAGCGCTGTCGGCTTAACTGCGTTTGTAACGAAAGATCCTGAAAGTCGCCAATTAGTACTGCAAACCGGCGCCTTAGTTCTCGCCGATAACGGTATCTGTTGTATTGACGAGTTCGATAAAATGAACGATAGCACGCGCTCGGTGCTGCACGAAGTTATGGAGCAACAAACAATGAGTATTGCGAAAGCGGGTATTATTTGCCAATTGAATGCGAGAACGAGTATTTTGGCAGCAGCCAATCCTTGCGAGTCGCAATGGAATAAAAATAAAACAGTAAATATCCATTGAATGATAATCGATATTGAATATCAATATGATATTATCGAATTGTTACAAATCTTTACGTTTGTTTTTAGGTGATAGAAAATGTTATGTTACCGCATACACTAATGTCACGTTTCGATTTAATTTTTCTCATGCTGGATCCTCAGGACGAGATATTTGACAGAAAACTTGCCAGACATTTGGTATCACTATATTATAAATCTGATCTAGAGGAAGAGGATGACATTGTGGACATGAGCATTCTACGTGATTACATAGCTTATGCCAAGGAACACGTTCATCCTGTTCTCAATGAGGAAAGCCAACAGAGGCTGATTCAGGCTTACGTCGATATGCGTAGAGTAGGAAGCGGTCACGGACAAATTACAGCCTATCCGAGGCAATTGGAGTCGCTGATAAGACTCGCTGAGGCACACGCTAAGATGCGATTTAACAATGTAGTGGAGATTGTGGACGTTGAGGAAGCTTGGAGGTGAGAGTAGAGAAAACGTGGCTAAATATGATAATACCTAGATAACACAATACTTTTGTTTTTAATGATGCAACTTATTGTAACATTTGTATATCGTCAGATTACATCGAGAAGCGTTGAAGCAATCGGCTATTGACCCACTAAGTGGCAAAATCGATATTAGTATTTTAACGACCGGTATGTCATTAGCTGCGAGAAAACGTAGGCAGGAACTGGTGGAGGCGCTGAAGAAGCTCATTAAAGGCAAAGATAAGACACCGACGCTAAACTATCAGAAAATTTTCACGGAATTGAAAGAATCATCCAGTATGGTGAGTTTATTCATTATACATGTACCTTATTTCTGCATTTATTTTCATCTATTTTTTTTTGTATATTATTTTACTTTATTTCTAATACGCATTTATCCAGAGAAAGCATGCTTGATTAATCCTATGTTTCTTTTTAGTTGGTGACGCGTGAAATGTTTGAAGATACTCTGAAAGATTTGCAAGATAACGGTATTGTAATTGTAACTGGCAAAAATACTATTCGTGTTTGTTAAACTTATTTACAATTTTTGTATCGCTTTGCTTAGGATATTTCTGGACGATTAATAGAGATATGCATATAATTTATTCATTGGTATATTCTATAAAAATTTGCTAAATATTTTTATATATGAAAGAGATTATTGCAAAAATTTATTTTATATTCCATTATTATTGTTACCATACATAAAAAATTGATATATATATATATATATATATATTATATACGACAAATATGTATCAAATTCATATAAAGATATATTGTATTATATATCTTAAGTTCTCTAAGCTATCTGCTTTAAGAACTTTTTCGGTTATTCTTTATTCATAAATTTTGGCTCAAATTACATTAACATTTTGTTTAGCTTTTATGACAAATTATTTGCGTTTTTCTTATATATCCAAGATTGTAACACTGGATTAGATTAAACTGCTAGTTACGAGAGGAAAATTCTTAACAAATGTTTGAAATTATCTAATCGGGGATTAATCTTTTCATATCATCATCTTTCCTATTATAATAATTAATAAAGTAAGAATAAGCAATACGTATGGAAACAATCGAGGAAAACGGCGGAATGTAGAAAAATTTTTTACTTGCTACTACTATAAGATCTATCATAATACATATATATATGAACATATTTCATATATATTTATATATATATATAGAATTTTATGTGTATATATGGATTTTCCTCCTTAGGTGTTTATGAGTTGTACAACGATCATTTGTGAAAATTGAGAGATGAATTAAAAGAACAATTAATTCTTAGATAGTAATTTTTAAAGAGAATAAAGTTAGAATTCTTAAAATTTTAAATTTAAATATTTTTATTTGTATTACCTCTATTGCCCATCATGTTCCCGATATCCCAGAACTTAAATTTGTGTAAATATCGGCGGCAAGCTAAAGGTTCGCCCTGAAGGGAGAGTTTTTTAGCGGGTGCGAGTCCCGCATATCCCACCGGACCGGCCGGTGGGAATGCATAATGCATTTTTCTCTTCCTTCACAAAAAAAAAAAAAAAAAAAAACTTGTACCTTTACGGATTCTGAAGCCCCAGCGGTGGTATATTCCATTATAATTGTTACAAAATCCCTTTTAATCCGAGACTAGCACAGAATAGATAATGGTGAAATTATAAATAATTAACATTACGAAAAATTATAAAGATTAATTTTTAAACAATTCTTTTCAAATTATAATTTTTGCCTCAGTAAGATAACGAATATAATTCAAAGCTTGAAATTCGTATAATATCATTTTAAACCGAATATGCTAATTATATGATCTTTTATATCTTTATTTTTATAATTTATAATAGTATATACAGGAGTTTTGATATCTATGAATATATTAAATTTGTAGTGGCCAGAATTATGAAAAAGATTATTTTTGTATTTTTATTTTATTTTCTTTTTATATTTTTTTATGAATAGCTATTATTTATAAGCTTCTTGAATTAAAAAATGAATCTTTCCTGATTTTCTTTTCAATATTATGTTAAATTCTGTCACAATTCTCAGTTTTTAATAATTTAAGGAACATTTTTTTTTGCGTGCTTTCCATACAATATTTTATATTTTAGATAATTTGCCGACAATAAATGATAAAACGCACAAATAGAATGCGCATGTTTTTTTATAAACACGGTAATGTGGAATTTCGCGATACTGACGCTTGAATTGTGATGCTCGCACATATTGAGCGCTGTTACTAATATATGCATGTAATTTTTTAGAGTGACCATATGTTTTATTATCAATGAGAAATTATTTTCCTGTCGTTTATTCGATTTCACATACATTGGTATCGTATATTCGCCATAGTTATACGAAATGTCGGGTTAAAATGCAATGGCAATTAATTACCATTGACAATTTGAATTTTCTTATAACTGACGTGTACGTATGTTTTACGCCTACGCCTCGTGCGCGGGCGTCGCGACGGAGGCGTCGTACTACGTAGTTTTGCTCTTGCGATGACCTTGGAAACTCCTACGCTCCTTTAAGCACCGGGTAGTTTTGGTGGGGATATTCGTTCATCGACGTCCCACCCACTCACGCCGGGTAACTTCCGCCCCTCCGAATCACGATATTCGCTACGCATCGATGCCAAGAGAACCTAGGCATCTTCGAATTACCGTGTTTGGAGCATTAAAACGATATCCGATTGAATTCAGATGCCATTTTCTAAAAAGCCCCCGTAATTAACTTTTCGTTGACGAAATAAACTATATTAGAATTTCATGCTAAATCTATTAAATTTACTATCAAAATAATTACTATTATGGAATCCTTGCTGATCATGTTCTCCTGATACCTTTGCGCATTTTGAAGCTTCAAATTTCCGGCTTTTTGAAATTTTTAGTTTGTGCCACCTCCTTGCTGATCATATTCTCCTGATACCTTTGGGCATTTCAAAGCTTAAAATTCTGCGCTTTTTAAAATTTTAGTTTGTGCCACTTCTTTGCTGATCATGTTCTCCTGATACCTTTGCGCATTTCGAAGCTTCAAATTTTCGGTTTTTTGAAATTTTAGTTTTTGTGCCACCTCCTTGCTGATCATGTTCTCCTGATACCTTTGCGCATTTTGAAGCTTCAAATTTCCGGCTTTTTGAAATTTTAGTTTGTGCCACCTCCTTGCTAATCATATTCTCCTGATACCTTTGCGCATTTCAAAGCTTCAAATTCTGCGCTTTTTAAATTTTAGTTTGTGCCACCTCTTTGCTGATCATGTTCTCCTGATACTTTTGCGCGTTTCGAAGCATCAAACTCTGCGCTTTTAAAAATTTTAGTTTGTGCCATCTCTATATATATATATATATATATATATATATACGAGGATATATATAGTTACGAGAACTAATGTGCATTTTCTTTATCCCATTATTCTCTTTCGTATGGGATTAACAAGAAAATTTTTTTCTGGCAAATATCAGAGCTTGTTCAATTAATTAACTTCTTTGTTGAAAACAAAAAGAATGTCCTCACGTTTTATACTCGCCAAAAATTTATTGAAAACTTGCACATGCAAGTGACATTAAAATTTAATTTCACACACGATTCTATTATGGAAATTAATACCGTTTATATTAATAAAGTTGTATTTTTGAAGTCATTTTTCTTTTATTTTCTAATCTCAGTTTGCAATACGACTTCAATTTCAAATAGGATTAATTTTAAATTCAACCCGCACGCATTTGATACATTCAAGTAATTTAACTATCAAAATTGTATAAACATTATCATCCGTTATGCCCTCAACGTAACTCCGCGCGAAAGTACCTCCTTCGTGCGTCCGCGCGCAAATATGTGTATATGTGTATGCGCACGTATGTGAAAAGAGCATGCACGCGCGATTCACCCCCGTTAATGTGTACTACGCACAAACTATGTACACTATATGTATATATCGTTCATCTGCAAATGGCCGACTCATACGACCGATACAATTGCGCGCGCGCGCGCACGTACATGTGCGAGGGAGGGAGAGAATGAAATCACGTATCGAGAGGGATGAATTGAGAGAGAAATATCGCAAACGTGACGAATAAAAAGAGAGGAAGAATGAGAGAGGGTGAGCGGGGGTGCGCTCGATCGTTAAAGCAGCACGACATCCCCCACCGCGTGATCCCTCACGCCCATTCATAAAGTTGCACCCGCTAATTCTTAGTATCTCGTTCAGCGTTTTCTCGATATTGCCATGCGAGTGTGTATTAGTATCGTATTTTTTTTCACAAGAGAGAGATAACTTTTTATCTATATATTATCTACATATTATCTACATATATCTCGAATTTATCTTTTATATCTTTATTTCTTCTTTCTACTTCTTAACAGATAATTATTAGGATAATATAGGAGAATTTTAGGACAAAAAGACTTAAAAAATAATAAATACTCTCTTTTTCCTCTAAAAAATTCTTTGAGACTCGAGATTCTAACTATTTTTAAAACTGATAATCTTAACGATTATCATTAAAGTTTTTTACGAATAGAATTTGATAAAAATTTAAAGATGAGAAGCTTCAAATTTTCGGTTTTTTGAAATTTTAGTTTTTGTGCCACCTCCTTGCTGATCATGTTCTCCTGATACCTTTGCGCATTTTGAAGCTTCAAATTTTCGGCTTTTTGAAATTTTAGTTTGTGCCACCTCTTTACAGATTATGTTTTTTTGGTATTTCCAAGAAATGTAGTTTCAAAAATTTCAAGAACAAAAAATTGGCAAGCAAGTATAAATAAAATGTATAGTTAGTAAAGAGGTATGTAGCACAACAAGATGTGTGGATATGGATAGGTATGTTCAATGAGAAAACATGCGCCTTGTATTATTAATATAGTTTATTAGATTTAAAATTACAAAATATGTATTTTACAGACTATTATCGATTCTCTTATATATATATATATACAGTGTTATACATAACTCTTTTGCGTTTTGTCGTCGGTGTTTCATCAAATAATAAAATAAAATTATTTAGAAACTAGAATAGCGGTAAAAAGTCTTAATAAGTAGATTAACCCTTATTGGATATCGCAATATATGTATATAAAATAAAGACATCCTCGTTACGTAATAACGCATTGACCACTAATTAGGATTTATCCTCAAATATTAGAAATAATATGATTTTATATGTATTTGTGAATAAAAATGGATTACACACACACACACATACGTGCGCAATCATTTTTTTTCTTATATAATAATGCACATAGGCATTTTATTACGTATATACATATATCGGGTATCGGATGCAATCGCTTTCGCTGTTACACTACATTTTGTACACACATACAGTCATTTTTATTATTATACAATAATAAACACAGGCATTTTATTACGTATATACATATATTGGGTATCGGACGCAATCAGATGCAATGTGATTTTTCCAGAAGATAATTATTAGGATAATATAGGAGAATTTTAGGACAAAAAGACTTAAAAAATAATAAATACTCTCTTTTTCCTCTAAAAAATTCTTTGAGACTCGAGATTCTAACTATTTTTAAAACTGATAATCTTAACGATTATCATTAAAGTTTTTTACGAATAGAATTTGATAAAAATTTAAAGATGAGCGATCGAAATTTTCTAAATGTAATCTTGAATAATATTAAATTTTAATTATCAACGTGTTTCTGCTTATATTTTCTTGCGGAATAATACTAAATTATATTTAACAATGATAAAGGACCATGTAATACAGACTTTACAATATTTGTTTCGCAATCAGATGCAATGTGATTTTTCCAGATCAAATCAGCTGTTTGCGTTGCTAACGATGCTTCCTGCATCGCCAATAATTTCTCTGCCGTAATAATCGTGCTGTAACATATTAACATACAAGTATATCTTATTAAATAATTCTATCATTAAAAGATAAGTACTCCAATACTGAATAGTTTATTAATAATACTCCATACTGAATGATAGAAACTGAATGATGTATTTTAGAAACATAATGAGAATTTTTACTATCTTACTATCTACTTACATATACTCGTATATATAACAGATAATTATTAGGATAATATAGGAGAATTTTAGGACAAAAAGACTTAAAAAATAATAAATACTCTCTTTTTCCTCTAAAAAATTCTTTGAGACTCGAGATTCTAACTATTTTTAAAACTGATAATCTTAACGATTATCATTAAAGTTTTTTACGAATAGAATTTGATAAAAATTTAAAGATGAGCGATCGAAATTTTCTAAATGTAATCTTGAATAATATTAAATTTTAATTATCAACGTGTTTCTGCTTATATTTTCTTGCGGAATAATACTAAATTATATTTAACAATGATAAAGGACCATGTAATACAGACTTTACAATATTTGTTCTATAGAACTTTGAAGCTGTAATCGTAAGTGCAATACAGATCGATAATGATTTATGACAAGTAAAGATTCCAAGACATATTCATTGATAATGTTTAACGATCCACGGAGGATTGACCGTTCCTGCGTGACTCAATGCAACACCTGTTCCTCGGGATGAAATCTGACTTGCCCGATCGACCCTGGCTAGCGGCTGAAGGTCGTCGTCGTCGTTGAGGGTAGCGAGGGAGGGGAGGGAGGGGGAGGAAAGGGAGGGTTTGGATGCCGCAGTGCTCCCGCGAGCCGAGCAAATAAAAGTTCTGCCCGGCATTGAGCGGGTGCCTCCATTCATGGTTTCCGGGCGCAGGCGCCTCGTCGCGAAACCGCATGGCGTTGCCCGGGGAAGGGGTTTGCGAGGAGTCACCTACGCTCTGCTCCCCCGGCATCGCGATACGTGGGCGACGTGGGTGATTCAGAGGTAGAGCGAGCCGGAGTAAGGGCGGACCACACAGTACTGCTCCTCTCGCGCGCCGGCTCGATTCGAAGCCGCGACCCGGCTTCGAGGGTGACTCGCGTAAAAGAAAAAAAAAAAAAAAAGTACGCGTCGAGATCTTCGACTGACAAGTTTCCGTCGCGAAGTGTTGTTGCTTCTCATCAACTTTTCCCCGACGTCCTTCCCGACGAGCGATGGCTCGCGTTCGCCGACGCGTACACGTCAAGTGAGTGTTTCGCGACTCCTTTCTCTTTCTCTGGACGCTTCTTCGGGGCGAATCCGCCTAGGATCCCTGTATCGGGAATACGCGCGTTATCATGTGCGAGAATCGTGCAATCGTCGAGAATACACGCGGAAAAAGTCGCCGGATAAACGCGACCGCATCGACAATTGTACTTGTGAACTTTATAAATTACCTATCTGATTAAATTACTATTTTATCGCGCGCGTTCCACGCTGAAACAATTAGTGAGAAATTCATTCAATTTCTCGATCTTCGGACATGACGACAGCTGTATTAATCACTTTTCTATCTGAATAATTTTTGTAAAAAGTCAAAGTCATATAATTGAGTTTCATGAATCCAATGCTTATCGATAACGTTTCATATTTGATTTATTTTGATTTATACCACACTTTGTTAATCACTTTTTAAATGCTTCATAGTATTCTGAGCTTATATTCTGACCTCCTTACTCCTCGATTTGAAACCATCAAACTTTTATTTTTTTAATATAATTATTCTAAAATATTTTAAATTTATTACATAGTGTTATTTTTATAATTAATAATTTATGCAGAGATATAATTCATAGAAGATAAATCGTCGTAAATGTTAAAAACCTTTGCGAGAAAGGGAGTGGAGATATGAGTAGGAGAATGGATTCTGAAAGGGTTGAGTGAAAGTTGGGAGAGTGTACGACGGGCAGATTGGGAAAGAGGGTGACAATTACTATAAAGATAAAGAAAATTAGAAGCGTAAAATATGAGAGAGAGCTAAAAAATGTACTCCAGCTGTCCTCAATTCGGTAGGCCCAACAAGCCGAGCTCGACTACTTTCTCTAAAATAAAGTAGTCGAGCTCAAGCTTACGCGAGACAAGCCGGCTAAATCTTTTATCTATCCCGGTTAGTTAAGTTACTCGTTTCCCGTAAAAGAGTTTATGACTCTCTTCCCACAGTCGGAGATCCGCCAAGATTCTATTCACCTGCGTCCGACACTTGGTATAGAGATCAGTTATATCGTGTCTATCGAAGGCGTTAAATTTTGAAAAGCACGCGGATACAAATATTTCAAGAGGCATGCTCGCTGCACGTCAGTTCGACTACTTCGCGGAAGAGCATTCGTACGAAAGGTAAGATTTATACAGAGCATTATTTGTTTATTATTTTTTTATTATTATTATTTATTAGCTTTATTTAATTATCCAGGTTAATTTTTTTATATTTTCTAGATGTTATGGAATTTATCATATATTATATTCTGTATTGTCTTAATTTATTTCTACAATATATATTAAGAAACATCACGTCTTTACAATTCTCCGTGTCGCGTTACCCGGTATCGTAGAGCGTTTCCTTTGTGCGACATTGAAACTCGAACGAGAGCGAAAGTAGCGGACGATGCCACTTGGCGCCCATCAGTGAAAACGAAACTGGGAAACTTTGACCTTTTTCACCGAAAAAAATGCAGACGTTGCTATTCAAATTTGATTTAAATGTCAAGATATCAAACGTTGAACTTTGAAAAATATTTAAAATATATCTGAAATATTTAAATATACAATCTCTTCTCTCTAAATATTATCATTAAAGGCGTATGCAAAATTTTACAAAGAACACAGAAAATATAAAAGAATATAAAAACATAGAAATTAGAATAAATCTTTAATGATACTCTCGCATTATCGTTATTCCCTTCGATAAAACTGTATGAAAATTTTAATAGACACATACACATACACAAAATAATACATGAACAAGAACGAAGGATTTTAATACCGATGATATTTGATCAAATTATACAAGTATACATAGAGGGTAACACACGCGTCGTATATTTTAGATGAATATATCCAATCACGCATGCCCGCCCAACCACACAATAGCGTACGCGCGCTCGCGCTTGCACACGACACATTTACACACAGATATCGGCCATTTTACTTTCTCCTCCTTCCTCCCCTTTAGTCTCTAGAGGAAAAGCAGATCTGACCTTGGTCGCCATGGCGATTTCAAGGATACAGTCCGCCGACAAATACCACAAACCATCCGGAAAAAGGCACAAGTTTGGCGATCTGTTGTATGCCTATTATATGAGCTCTTCCGCTTGTACAAATACTACGAAAGAACAATAATTTGAGGTTTTATTATTTCTATGTATTTTATAATTTTTATGTCTTAATTTTTAATTATCGCGAAAAGCTCATATTTAGTGTCTTACTCTACTATCAGATCGATATCGGCAATAACTTGTACACATATTTTGCACATGTGTATATATATTTCAATAAACAACGTCCTTTCCGTTTAATTACATCAAAAAAAAAAATATAAAAAAATCATAATGCATATGTGACAGTTTAGACAAAGTTTAATTAACATCAGTACTTATAATCGTTCAATAAATGCTTTTGTTTTTGAAAATCATATATAACTTTGATATTACAAAGTGAAATTTCAATGCTTTTTGCGAATAGATATAAAGTCGTGAAAAAGTAATGTCGCTGATTTATGGTTACTAAAATGGTCTTCAAGCGAGCGCTCGCTTCGTGATATTGTAAAGAGAACAGAATTTAATCTTGGTTTTAATATAGCTTCGGCGAAACGAAAGGACATGAACTTTATGATTTTGGGATTAATCCAGAGAATCATATGGTAAACACGGACTTGTTGCTTGTTATGTTTATCACGTTGGAGAGCGAGTGAACTTTCTCACGTATACACGATCTGATGTGGAATCTAATGACAAAATATTATCTTTATATAAAACGGTTATACGAAAATATAATCTACTAAATAATTTTTCATTTTAATATATTATCTAATAATAAATCAAAGATTTTTTCAGTGCAAAAGAGCAAATGACAAAAGTATATTTTTTAATTAATTTAATCTAAATTTTAAGACAAGGCTTTGAAAAATATATATTAATATTTGAAATATATATAGTAATATTTGAAAAATATTTAGTAATATATAAAATATTTTTATTTAAATAATAGACGCGCTTGTTATTTGTTATTATTAGCTAAGGAAAAATTGATGTCGAGTTAGTCGAGAAATTTACCACTAAAAAATAATGCGTTAAAACTAGGATACACTGTATATTATTATACGAAGTGACCTCGTAGCGATCTTGAAACAGAATTTTGTCAACAAGAGACTCTCGATGATCAGTTAGTTCGGTGCGAACGACAGGCCGTAGTGGTTTCAACGATCAGGTATAAATTGCAGAGTTGATTGTTTATACGATTTGAACAGAATTTTCACGTTTATTAATTTTTATACGTTGATTAAATCGTTTTCCGAATTTCGGGTAAATATGTCTCGCGATCGCGATAAGATCACTTTGTGCATAATCCGCATTATACCTATATTGTTTTTAACGCATTACTTTTTGATCAGTTAGATTCCTTGGCTAATATATAAAATCAAACTTTTTGGCGAAGATATCAAAAATATCGTGAATTTTTAACATTATATCTTTTCTCAAAACTCTCATTCAAAACTCTTGATTATAACGATCGAGTCATCGCCTCGATAAGCGAAAATGTCACTCAGTCAGTGCGCAGATTCACAAACAGTACAGCTTTCTATGCGTAATAAAAGAAGTCGCGAAAACATTTGCGAGATAAAACGCCATTCTTAATATCGTATAAATTGATACGTTTAGTGAACAAGCTGATTTTACTAAAGGTTGTAATCGTTATAACTTCGAATTTAATCTTTCTCAGTGTTGTGAATATGTATAACGGAAACATGTATCGCGAAAGAGGTCGTCGTGTTTTCTTTATCACCAATAAACATGAAGGTCATTTCGATATCTACAGTTTTACTTTGCTTTCTATTAGGTGCTCTCAATAAAGCAGAAATACATTTTCAAATAATAGAATAAATTTAAGTGATTATTTTTGTCAATTTGATGTCAAGTTTCTTTCAAAATCACAATTTTTGTTCGCTTGGATACAGAATTTACATTCCATCCGGGTTTCTCAAACTGAAAATATCAAAATTCAATTAAATTTACAAGATGAGAGCCGAGCATAATTAATTGAATCCGATTCTCTTTTGCATAGATCATTTGATTTCGTGATATATTTGCACAAATGGATGACAATTAAAATAGAAAATAGTAATGCTTCGATAAAATGTAAAAAGACAGCAAAATACTAATCAACAGCAATATTTCAACATCTCGTCATAACTATCGTTTCAGGAAAACAAGATTTTTCAATAGTGCGGCACGGGACACTCCCTTGGAGTTTTATCAGCAATTTTTGCCCGCCACCATGAATCAATTTAAATCTCCCCGTAATAGGGTAGATTATAACCGCTATTTCATGCAAGTAAGTAACTCATATTTTCTGTAATCTGTAGAGAAATATTTAAAAACTAACATACATAGATTTGCACATTAAAACATTTTTATAAACATAATGTATCCGAGTATGCAAACGTGAAATAAACATAACAAATATGTTTCAGATGACAAATAAGTCTCGGAAGCAAGAAGACCAACACTTTACGCCAAAAAGACTTAATAATGCAAAAAAAGCTCGAGCATTTTCAAGTCCCAGCCCGGAGAAGTTCCTGAAGCACTTTTCCCCAAAGAAACTTTTACAACAGCATCCAAGTGACAATTTATTAGGCCATTCAATTCTCGATGAAACAGATTCCCCGTTTCTATATCAATCTCCAAGGCTATACAATCAAAACACTATGATTGTCGGTTCACTGGGCTCTACAGGTGGTGATAGTCGACCAGGTTCTTCGGATGACAGTCTAGCAAATCGTTCGCCGGTTCGCCAGTTGGATACCAGTTCACCAGACGATTTCGGATATTTTCGAATGTTTGAAGATGCTAGTATACCAGATGTCTCCGGTCTGAATTTTTCGAGCGCCAATCGAAGCGAGAAATGCCAAACGAATTGCGAGCCGTTCGAAGACCTCAACATGAATTTTCTCAAGATCGATTTGCTGGACGTGAACGACAACTATTCTGCACGACAATCGCTCGAGCAGCTAATCTGTAACTCGAATGCCCAGAAAAATATGCCTAACGTACCGCTGATACCATTGATAACGAAAGAGTTAGAAATAACGAAAGATATGGGACAAGAGGTCTACTCCGAACAAAAATCACCTGTTTCCGAGCAACGAACCCATAGTCCGAATATGCAGATTGATGTACCGTTGATACCAAAGGAACTTGAGATTGCGAATGAGACAGAGAAGGATGATTATATCGGAACTCTACGATCACTTGTGTCCGATGAATGTAGTCCAAGTATTCAGAAAGATGTGCCTAGCGCACCGTTAATGGCGAAGGAGCTAGAAATAACACAGGAAAAAGAGATATCGGCAGAGGTAGAGAAGAATCAATCGCTTGACTGTTCATCAAAAGAGACTTCGCCGTACCATTGCAATGAACATCCATACACTCAGCTGCTTTACTGTCAAACCTGCTGCAGGCCAATTTGCAAAAACTGCACCTCTAATTGCACCTGCAAACACATGACGATCGATCTCGTAGAGTTCATCGAGACCGCTCAGCGTCAAGCTGAAGAAGTACTGATCGAAGCCTATCTCGGGATAGATGTTCTCGCGGATGACATGGAAAATATGGGGGTAAGTCAATTTTATTTACTTGATCAACGAAGTTTCGAAAGTTTCTCCGTCAAATTCATAATTATATGTATATTTTCTCTAATAAGAAGCTTTTTATCAAAATATATAATGTAAATAATTCAAAAAATTGCAATTAAATAATTTCCTCGAAATCTTTCGAAAAAATAAAATATATAAAAAAATTTATATATATTTATACATATTTTTGCATAAATATAGAAAAAATGAATATAAAAAATTAAATTCTGAAAGTACACATTCTAAAAAAATCTGTTGTACACTTCTTGCAGTTGGACATGGCAGCGTTAGATCAGAGAACCAAGGAAGCACTCACTGACGTGAAGTTCTTCTCACGTAGAATGTGGTCTGCTGTGGAAGAGAGAGAAAAGAAATTATTTAAACAAATTGTGGAAGCGCGACGATGGAAATTCGAGGTTCTTCACGAAAGATACATGCATCTGAAAGAGGATAAAATCCGATTGTCACAGGCCATAAGCGCTCTCAAATACGCTATCTACGATGCACGATTTCCCAATCTCGTGTGTAACCCCGGCGATCTCTTGAAGAAGAAAGACATGGTGTTAGCTGAGGTATCTTACAATCTTTTCACACGTCAGATATATTTTGATTCAACATTTATAAATTAATTAATAAAGATATACATTATATAACTTGTAACTTTTTTTTTTAAATTTCGTGTGTTTGCACAGATTTGGCAGATTCGTCAGAGTCGGAAGATGAAGACCAGGTGCACCCGAGATGAGAATTGGATATCATTCAAGAGTTCCGATAGCAATGTACTGGCCGTTATCGCCAACGGCGGAAACGTTTTGGTGAACAGTCCAGGCACGATCGGGGATCGTCTACCGCCGAATCGCGATTACAAATTATCACAGTCATATTTTCCGTACGGATTGAATGAGCAAATGATGCAGCCGATACCGCGCGGTCGTCCGATATCGAATTACGAGCGCAACATCGTTCTTCCGAATAGGAAACCCGAATTGCAGATCAAGAGCACGGATGTCCGGATCATCGGCCACTTTGGCGAGAACAACCCCGAGAATCTCTGCCGTCCATGGGGATTAACCTGCGACAACGAGGGCAACATCATAATCAGCGATAGATCCAATAATCGCATACAGATTTATCGCGATAACGGCACGCTCGTCAGGAAATTTGGAAGCTACGGTAATGGCCCTTGCCAATTCAATCGCCCGGCCGGAATCGCCGTTGACTCCAGACGTCGTCTCATCGTGGTCGACAAGGATAACCATCGCATCCAGGTTCGTGGTATAATGCATTTCTCAACGATCTCAGTGTTATTCCTGTCGCGTTACATTGAGACTAAAGTTCTTTAATAAATTTGAATGCAATATAAAATTATCTTGTTTCAGATCTTAACGATGGAAGGTGAGTTCTTGAGGTCTTTTGGCGAGCATGGCGAGAAACAAGGCCAGTTTTGTTACCCGTGGGACGTGGCGGTAAATACCGCTTGCGAAATCGCGGTCACAGACACTAGGAATCACCGCGTCCAATTGTTCAGCGCCGAGGGTATTCCGCTGCGTATGTTTGGTGGCCAACCGCACTTGCTCAGGTATCTGGACTCGCCGCGCGGCATCTGCTTCAATCAGGAGGGCAAGCTCATCGTCACGGATTTCAACAATCATCATCTATTAATAATTGAGCATAATATGACGGATATGCGTATACTCAAGTGCGAGAAAGAGTTAAAGGGCAAGAAGCAAGACGGCAGCGGGGAAAACGGTGACGGGCAAACCGAGGAAAACGCACCTGCGTTTCAGAGGCCACAGGGCGTAATAGTGGCCGACGATGGCAGTATCCTCGTCGCGGACTCCCGCCATAATTCGATCAAGGCGTTTAATTCGGTCGGATCGTTAATCTATTCGTATAAGCCGGGTCAAGAAGAAATGGATCGTCCACTCGGTATAGCCCTCCACTGGGATGGTAGAATGGCGTTCACGGATTACGGACGTAATTACGTGCGCTTGGTAAGGCTGGAACATCATGTGGACCCGGTGTCGAGGAATGCTATTATGTTCGGTTGATATCCTAGAATACCGGATGCGTTACCCTGGCGAATCAATGAAGATGCAGACAAGAAGGACGAGGTTCTTGCATCAAACGTGCGAACGGCATCAAGTGCCGCAACTTTTACAATTGCAACGCGTGGCGAGATTTTTAATTATCCATTTTCTGCCACCAGTAAATTGCGTTAGAAAATATAACGTTTTGTTAAAAACGCGAGAAATTATAAGAAAGATATTTTCAGCAGTGAAAATAACAAGTTGGTAATAATCGTGAGAGATGAAAGTTATGCGCGCATGCACAACGCCATTTTATAATTGTCGACATATAAGCATATATATGTTACACATATATCTCCAATCGATTTCAAAATTAAAAATGTATTATATATTTAGTTTTCTCTTTTATCTTCAGATTTTTTCTATTTATTCATCTATCTATTTATTTATTTTCTTATATTTCTTGTTTATCCAAACTTTCTCCTATGAATCTATCTGTTTATCTTTTTCTATCTCATTTATTTTCTTTCATTTTTTATTTATTACGAAATTGCTTTATATATCGAACGTTCAGTTCCACTCTCGCGAAAAAGCAGTAATTTACTATTTTGGTGTATCTGTCAATACGGTGTTCGTCGAAAATGTAACTTTCATCTTTAATCTCTATTACTGATTTATTATTTTCATTGTTACTAATTTTATTTTATGTTATAAAATATCTTTATTTTTTACAATTGTCGTATATATATTTTATAATTTTATTATATAATGCGTTATATGTATGTTATAGTCGGATAGACACATCGAATAATGTAGTTTAGATATTTTTAGATATTTATTTTCCAATTTAAAAACAGACAAATTTTGAAACAAAGCACAACAGCGGAGAAAGAGAACCGTGTATGCGCTACACGTTTTGCATAATTGATCGAACGATCGATCAGCAGTGCATTGTCAGAAAAATATGACGAAGGAAATTAACAAGGAATTGGCAAATTCACATAATGCCAGCAATCTTATTTTATTAATGCTTCTTATTTATTAGAAGGTTTGTTTATTAGAAGATTTCGGTCTTTTTTGAATTGCAATCGACTTGTTTCTTCTATTTATACACTTTTTAATAAGAAACTATTAGTCTTGTCTAAAATTTATACTATTAAGATATGAATTCAATTCATCTGCAAAGGAAAAAAAAACAATTTTACTATGATTGTGCTATTTTTTCCTGAATGCAAATCGTGTGTACGACGCCGAAGACGATTCTGCTTATCAATTCGATTTTGAAAAGAAGAAACAGGAATTAGAAAAGATCACAATGGCTATATTTTTAATTTTTGTTATTTTCCTAAATATATATATATGATAAAATTATATGACAGTTAAATTATATTTTGCATTCCTTTTCATTTATCTTTCTGATATAAATCCAATCGCAAAGATTTTTGCTATTTTTTCAGTTTAGAGCAAAGTAAAATATTTTTTATTTAAGTTGAATTTTAAAATACACAATAATTTTCATTATTTTTTCCAACATTATTCATCAATCTAGGATTAAATAAACGGGAAAATATCGGACATATACATATACACACAGAAAATCACAGATGACTTCAACTGCAAAACGGAGAAATGTCGATGAGAAAGTATCAAACAAGAAAGTGACACAGATGGGGGAGATGTCCAATTTTTTATTCCCCGCATTCAACGCGCGTTACGGTTCTCTTAAGCTCGAGGAGGCAACATATATTATCAATATAGATTGGTATCGTTAAGAATTAGCGGGTAAGTTTATTGTTAAGGAATAATAATCTAATATAATGTTAGACATTAACGTGAATTAATCGTTATCACCGTTGAGACGATCAGTACAAAGTTGTGCATGCGTGTGTATGAGAGAGATCGCGATAGAAATTGCTCGTTGAGAAAACGGCAGTGGAATGTTGATTGTTTTTCGACGTTGTTTGACAAGGTCCGATTGAAATTCTGCCGTTGATTTGACGTATATTCGCATAATCTTTAACGCCGTTGTATTAACAAGACGAGATATTATGGTACGTATTATGTGCGAATTATTATTGTGACATCGTAATATGTCGTACGAATAGTCCACCAACTCTCTCGGAGCCGTATGCAAATTTTCGCGTTATTCCCCCCCGCCCCCCTTCGGCATCTTCCATATACTATATGAACATTCTGATACTAAAACAGCCAGTGTTGTATATCCTCGGCTATAATTCTACTTCTACCTCTGTAAGCTGTGCATTGGCATTAGTCCCATTTTAGTTCCCTAGAAAGAATATTAGACTTTTCTCTGTAGGTTATACTTATTGTTAATTAATATTCAAAAATAGCAAAGTAACATCTGATATAAAAAAAAAAATATTTTTAGAGAAAAAAGAAATTGCCTGATGTGAGAGTGGAAGATGCGCTGCATAATAATAGATAACAATGCTTTTTTATGAATGTCTCATACGAGAAATGATTGGATTATTTGCTCGAATATCTCGTAAAGTGGCGATAATATAGAAAAGTGACGATATATTATTATCTCACTGTCTTACCTCATGTGAGAAGATTACTCTTACCTCATGTGACATGAATGTCGTGTGTTAGTATTCAATGCAACGCGCACATTCGTGTAATGCCAAGCTTTGGCTGTGTTAAACATACGAGAAAATCACAAAAAAAAAAAATGCGAGTCCACTTTATGATATATCTGTGTGACGAAAAAGAAAATCGCGCGATCGTATTTTTTTAATTACATGATAAAGAAGCACGTAAACACATACATACACAAAACATACACACATACTTCCATAACAGGATCCGGAAGGGATCGCGTGCGACTTTCTTTAAACAATCTCTCGTAAATGTAATTAGGGCAAAACTTTCTACATACATTAGAGACGATAATATACCTGTATGTATTACGTCTATTACATGCAATGTTTAATGAGAATCAACTTTTCTTATATAAATTGCGTCGACGGTCACCTGAGATCACAGCGAGAATTATTCTTCGATTCCATAAGGACGATGTATGTCTTTCGCGCATCATTTCGAAACGCGCATTCGCGAGACTATTTTTACATACGCGCAGATATCATTCCAAAACGCAGATACCGCCGAAACGGATTTATAAAACAGATTCTCACGGCTGATTATACGGTCAACGACGCAAGTCCGTTTGAAAAACGGGCATTAAACTAATGCTTCTTCTGTCTCGTTGCGGACATATATGAGAAAAAAAAAAGACGCAACAAAAGAAGAAATTGGAAATATATACCAAAATAAATAATTAAACAAATAAAAATCAAAAATAACATACATCTGTCCGAGAAGACACTAAAAGAATGTTCTTCACACTCATTTTGCATATCATAAATTTGCTCATACAACACTAATCAACAATTTGTTATTAGCCTTTAAGCACAGAAGTGAAAATTAATTTAAGAAACGTGACGCTTTTTCATTTAATTAAGTTTTCAAATCGTGTTGATCAACGATGATGCGTTTCCTTTATATGCATCAATTTTTCTTTCTTGTATATTATAAATTTTGTATATCTTATACACAGATTTGTGTTATGTGACGACCTCTTGTTAAATGTATTTCTTTTTGTATAAAAGATATACTTTCTCTCTCTGTAAATTTCTTATACATATTTATGCTAAATTTATGCATAAAATAATTCAGAAATAATTTAGCTAGCAAGTTTATTTGTGTTTGCATTTTTTCTTGCTTGTTTTTATATCAAACATCGATGTTCAATGGATGCTGAAAAGCGAGAAGTATGAATTACGTATATTATATTAAAAGCGCAATGTACAGAGCGCAGGCAAGAAAGGAAACGCATAAATCGCAACGTTCATCGATAATTCTTTTGTATGAAAGTTTATAAGAGCTTTCTTTTAATAGTAACGCAGTGCCAAACTATGTAATTCGCGAAAAAGAAAAGCATGAAAAAGTTGAGGAAATGCGCAAACCGATTATGAAATTAAGTTAACGTCATATTTTTGCGATTAAAGATAGCAAAAATGACGCTAAAATCAATCAATTATTAAATATCAGTCCATCAACATCGAAGTTGGCTAACGTGCTATTATACAACATAACATTATTATACAACATAATGTTATGCATAACGATAAAAATTACAGTTTTATAACAAATGCGCTTTCATGGTGATGTAACATTTGCGAATAAAAACAAGACAGAATGTTACGAAGTTCCTATTTTGACGTTACAATTGTAAAATATCTTGCTGGCTTAACGATGGCTTGACTGACAATGGATTTCTCTGCAAGTGCTTTATAAAAGCTTCTTCCTGAGTTATCGGCGCTAAACTTGCGGATTTATTATAGAACGCTATATATTTTGCTTCGTATCATAAGTTTCATCGTTCATCGAGATTCTTAAATAACAATTAAAATCGCAAATTCACTGTAACAGTAGAATCGCAAACGTTTCATCGATCGGCATTCGATTACGAATAATTTGTGAGTGCCGCGTATGTGTCCGTGTGCGTGCATATCTACGTATGAGTATCTGTATTAGATCTGACCGCCAATTTACGTGAGTTTAAGTATTTATGAAGAGATAAACTTTTAATGATTAAACATGTCAAAATAATTATAGGAATGCATTTATCAAACAAGCTCCCTTTTCTCTCATTTATATTACTTTAATAATATTTCTTCAGTAATGTTTGACAAATTTTCATTCTCAGATCCTTCACGATTTCATTTCTTTTTTCCTCAAAATTCAAATAAACAGAAGCAGGGATGCCTAAAGAGTTTTCA